GCAAAAGATTTTTTTTTTCCTGACAGCGTTCGAGACTTTGACCCAGAGCCAAACTTTCATGCTCCAGTTTGCCATAGTGCGTTTCACATAATGACATGCAGCGACAGCCCACTGCCACTTAATATCACTGTTTGAGATTATTATTCTCCTCTAATGCTTCTTTTCTTTCTGAAAGGTTGTGTGTTGTGTTGTTCTGAGGGTTTTTTTGGGTTTTTTTTGCCATTTGCAATAGCTTTCTTTTGCCAAGCCAGAACAGACTGGGCAACTCATTAGGCCATTTTGTGGGTGTTTGTTCTGGGGGACACTAGATAATTGTTAATGCAAACATCACTGAATAAACAAACAGAAGCCCCAGAAAACTGATTCAGTTAATACTGCCTTCTGGATCACTGACTGTGGAAAAATTGTTGTTTATAGAGTGAATCATTAATTTGGCTTGCATGTTAAATAGGCTTGCCACTAAAATAATAAATTATGACTGGCAGATAAATACCATCCTTGTTTTAACCAGGGTAAAATGAACGAAACATTAAAAAACATGTTAGTTACTAATTGCCAACTTCAATTCTTTTGAAGCATGAGCTTTGCTAAAAGCTGGACGTTTTGTTAAAAAGCTTTGTCAGGTAATTATTTTCCTCCCTGCCAAAGAACTGCACAGGTTTGCTGATTCCAAAGTTCATCTCAGTCCTTGCACTATCAGGTAGATTGTGGTACACACAGCTTAGGCTCCTCCAGCCTCCTGAGCATCCTTCTTCTTACATTAATTTATTAAAACTGTAATTCTGTGCAATGGATATACAGATCCTCCTTCATGTATTGAACTTTGTGAGGAGGTATGTGGAAATGCTTGAGACTAGAGACTGTCTGTTTCCAACTCAATGAGAAATTTTTCAGCAAATGAGTCCAATATGTAAATTACTAAAAATCGTTATGTTAACTGAACATAAGTAACTCAGTGGTCAAACAAAATATAATTCAACTGTGCTGGAAAGCAATAACTGAATGAGAGTTTATTAATCTGCAGTTACTCAACTGCTCCTTTGATTTACTGTGTTGTCTGCATGCCTCTTACCACTCTCCAGTACCAAACACCTTGTGGCAAACTAGTGGAATGAATTTGGATTTGAAGTAATGTTTCTCTTTTTCCAGAAATATTTTTATTCCCTGTAAAGCACAAAGGACTTGCTGTGCAATATGCAAGGATAATTTCAAAATCTATTTTCCCTATTTATAATAGAGAAGGTTTGGGGTTTAGTTTTAATTATTGCTAAAAAAGGCCTTGCAGAGTGACAAATGTACGTATGTTTAATTTCCTAACTCATGCAAAAATGACAGATACGGTTTTCTCCAGACATTTTTACAATGAAGATCCCAAAACATTTTGGTAAGAATAGAGGCAGAAGGACTTCAAAAGGCAGACATTAGTAGTAGACTATTATCATAAGTAGATGCTGATCTGTGATTTCTGCCTTTGAAATACGGTTTTAGTCTCTTTCTCCATTAGCAGTTCAGACAGTTCTCAGACAATAAGAATTTCTTGTGATTTTTCTCTGTCAAGTAAGACATATACAAGTGATACGCAGTGATGCTAAATAAAATTTCATTTGATAATGCATAATTTCTCCATACACTTGTTATTTGTGCATACAGTATTGTATTCTTACTTTGACCTTGAGAATGAATTGTTTCATACTATCAGAAGTATTTAATTTGGCTTGTGGTATTTCCTACACTTCCCAAAGTATCTCTTCTTGATGTTGTGCACAGAAGAAATTTTCTTTTTGTTTGCTATCTTATTTCATTATTGTATACTGGAATATTCAATCACTGAAGTACTTTGTGAAATTACATCTATTATACCACTGGAATATGACCTGATTTATTATAAGAAGATCAGAGCATAGCTCAAGTGCTCAGTGCATTATCCTAAATGATGCTCTGTCTCTGAGGGCTGCCATAGCCCTCATCTTTGCTGTTATGTTTTAGCCATTGATTTCCCTTTAGAACACAAATGCCATAAAAATACTGCTTGGTAAATGTTTCTTCAGTATTGAATAACTGCTTTTTCTGCCAAGGAGGTGTCAAAGTCTCTTCCCAGCCTGTCTGTCACACTCTGTTCCTTTTACATGCATCAGCAGAGGTCAGCTAAATAGGTCTGATAACTCAGTTTTGGGGGAGATGCAGATTGCAAGACAAGTGGAAAGGAGGGCAGGTAACTTTTAAAGCTTGCTTGTTTATGTGTCTTTGATTGCAGTTGTTCCCAGCCCCTTTGGAGAGAGGCACGCTGCTTTTGGAGCCTTTGTTTCTCTTTGAGTGATCCGTGCTGTTCATGCCTCCCTCTGTGCCTGCAAACCAGGTTCTGTCCTGGAGCTGTCTCCTCCTCACCTCCTCAATTCAAAGCCACAGGCTGCTCCTTTCTCACATTCTGAAGCACAGTTTGTCCCAGAGCAACCTAATGGTGGGGAGGGGCAAAAAAAAAAAAAAGAATTACCTAGGCTGAAGGGAACTGAAGGGAACTCCTATGAGAGCTAGAAAGTTGCTCAGGTGAAAGTGGCTGCGATTTGGAGATGGGGTTGCAGGGATTAGCCAGAAGCTTATCACGGATCTCTGTAAGCAATGGGTTTCACAGTTTATCATTTTAATTTTTTTTTTATTTTCAATTACTTAGGTTTATATTTTCTGCCTTTTTTCGTGTGTTACAGGAAGAGATGATTAGTAATCACTGGGGCTTTTACCAGCATAAGATATAACATTTCTGTATGATGCATGATATGTATTCCTGTAATTTAATTATCTAGAGTGTTTATTTGGGGTATAAATGCTGGAAACAATGACATTTCTGAGATTATTTATGAGGTACTGCACTTTGTAATCAAACCTTCTGTGTGCTGTTTGTAAAACATCAAGTGTTATAAAATTGCTGATAGTTGGAAAAAGAACATTGATAATGGGCTGACATTCTCTGTGCAGCTGCAGATGAGAATCAGTAGGAAATAGAGAGGAGCAGAAGCAGTGGCAGCTGTATTGCAAAGATTAGTTACTGAGATGTTGCCTGCCTGAGAAACACATAAACTCTCTGCAAGGAATTTTATTTTGTGTTAAGAACTATATAGCTCTAGCTTTACATTTTTGACAATATTAATAAGAATTCTTTTTTTCTCTGTGATAATATGAATATTTCTGAATTAAGCAAATAAATGCATTCAACCTAAAAAACAAGAATAAAAGTAGTCATACTGAGTTATAGAAATGAACAGGGTTAGACAAGGTTTAGATCAAAGAGTAGCTAAAAGAGAAGGAAAATGGAATTGTCATTGACTGTGGAACCAAAGTTGCCCAAACCCAACTTTGAAGAACTTTTATTAATAAGGCAGAACATAACACAAGAGAATAAACTTTTGACTGCAGTAGGAATTAGTGACCTGCCATGACCAGGGCCCAAGAAAGGAGAGCACTGTGCATTACTTCAGTTTATGTTTCAAAGATGCTCTTCTAGTTCCAGAAGGCTAAGAAGTCTTCAGAATATTTGGCTAAGGTGAGTAAAATCTCTTTTTGACTTAAGCTTATTCAGCTGAAAAAGGAGTTCATAAAGATTACAAGGAAACAAACTTTGTAACACAATGACTGACCCACCAGAGAAAATGTTTGAAACAGTAGTAGTGACCTTGATTTTATGAGCGTTTTTGATAGCAGAATTACAGATACAGTTCATTATTGTATCTTGCTGCTTGTGTAAAGCTGATAAGGAAGGAATGATGATGGGTCATTTTCAAATTTCTGAATTGTAACCTAGCCAATCTAGGCTATCTCTGCTAGAAATTAGTCTGGGGAACAGGCTGTGAACCAGGCAGAGCTCAATAAATAGAGAACATTAACCTCATATGTGTGCTGTTCAATAAAACTGCATTCAGGCCGGCAAAATAAATCAAGAGACTTAATGAAAATATTTTATTATTATTAAGAGGTTTAATTGTAACTATTATGGTTTAAATTTTTGTACTATGTGAGGAACTTTGAATTTTATTTTAAAGTTAGGCTATGGGTGCAAATTTTGTGTTGGAACTTCGAGTACTATACCTATACAAGTAACGGCAAGCACATTATTAATGCAAAACAGCAATAAAATACCTGGTGGAGAGAATTTTATTACGGGTTTTTTTTTTCCAGGCATTGAAGGAAAGTGCTGTTTTGCCCAGTACTGTTTTGTGTATCCTGAAAAGGTTACTGACTGATGCATGGGTGTTTCTATTGCAGACCCAGGACACTGTTGGTAGCCTCTGCTAACACTCTGTTATAGTGGCTTTGTCACATAAATAAATGAATGAATAGGTGTGTATGGCTATGGATACACTTTAAGTAAAGGCCAGGCAAAGTAATAATCGCAGGATTTGGTGTGACATTTTGCCAACACTCACATGTATTCTTGACTTTTCTAACATTTGTTTTTCAACTCATAAATATTTCTGGAAAGTAAGCACACTGTTCAATGACAGCGGCTTCTGTGGAGAGATTAGGTACATTAATAAAATATGAGACAAAAGCTACTGGTGAATGATGGTTTTTAATTAGGGGAGAAAAGAAAAAAATGGTCTTTTTTTAAAAGAGGGTGTGTTCTGAAGAGCAATACTTAATTGTCTCTATTTTTGTTACTTTTGAGTATACTCCTACTTAAGAAATAAAAATTGGAAAACCTAAAAGGAAAGACATTTACACTTGCAATAAGAAAAGTATGTTTGAATGTCCTGTGAGAGGGAGGAGGTGTTGGGAACACAATCATTCCTTTGATTATATTCAATGAAACCAGGTTGTGTACTTTATAAGAACAGAAACAACTTCTAACATCTTCCTAATCCTGTTGCAACTTTGATCATTTCTTCTTTTAAGCAGTTGCTATAACTGGACCTAGCCAAAGAGAAGTGCAGTGGCTCATCTCAAACAGATAACTTTTATGTTTTCCTATATCTTTTTTCATTCTAATGAAGTCTTTCTCTCCATTTTAGACAAATATCACTTGCTGTGTCATAGCACATGGATTTCAGGACCGCCTGTGAAGAGGTAGGATCAGATTTTTTTTCAAATAGTAGAATGAAAATCAATGAACTTTTAATCCTTTTTATATACAAGATACTTTTCTTTTCCCCCTTTTCTTTTCTTCCCCTGAAGTTTTAGGAGTTATATAGTCAAATATAAGTTATTCAGCTGATCATTTCATGGTGGCAGATGGACTTTGTAGTAGAAGATGAAAGAATTTGCGCAAGTGTATTCATCTCTAGACCTCACCTCTGTTTCCATTTACCTCTTTAGGCACAATGTAGGTGCAGGCAGTTACATTTTGTGTGAGCTTTGCTCTTCTTGAAATTGTTTATATCTGAAAGCCTGTACATGAAGAAAAATGTCAGTGGAGCCAGGAGTCTGCCTGGTGCTGCTCAGCAGAATCAAGGGGGAAATGTAGAAGTATGGGAGAAAAGTGAGTAGGGAGAAGGGAAGCTATGAAGATGACCAAAATGAAAAACAATTCCATTCAGATTTAGTGATGTAAGAGAGTAATTTTTGCCTAGAATTGGTTTCATAATGTCAATGCGAAGTACTTCAGTTGCTCTCTACTAGAGATGAGGAAAACACTTTCTGTGTTTATAATAATTTTCCTTAAAGAAAGCAAATAAAATGTATTTGTAGACATTAGCAAGGGCATCTTATTTACTCAGTGATTGTCTATGTACAATTGTTTTAATATGATTTTAACAACTTCAGCAATTAAGACACAGTGAGGACCATTTACAGCAAATTATGTAATGATTTTAATGCATTATTATAATTTTAAAATCGTGACAATTACCTGTACACTGAAAATCACAAACACCATTTAGGACGGTAGGACTGTAAACAAGAAAACTGACTAGGACTTTAGGTGCGACCATGATCCCATGAAAAAATAGAAGTGAAGGGATTGGAACAGTACTAAAGTCAAGAGCTAACTGTAGATATTACCAATTGTGACTTGAAAATCAGTTGGAATAAATTAGGGGAGAAGAGAAAATAAGCAGACTAAAGAACACTAAATCATGACAGCATTCTGGAACAAGTAGTAGGGTAAAAAAGTAATATTAAAATGAGCCCTGCCTTTGGGAAAGAATACTGTGATGTTTTTCCAGGATGTTATATATCAGGCTTTAATACCTCAGACTATGCATGCATGGTGTAAATTCTATAGCAGTATGTCCCAGATTATTTGGAAGAAAACATTCTTATTAATCTTGAGGTTTGGTTTTTCAAATAGAGTGTTTTCAGTTGGAAGGAGCCTGCAATGATCATGTATTCCCACTTCCTAAGTGCTTCATGGCTGCCCAAGAGATAAAGCATGTTATTAGGGCGTTTTGGTTTTTTATCATTATTATTTCTTTTTGAATGCACTTATTCAGGTAAGGAGGAAGATTAGTATTATTTTCATGTTTTTTTATGTTGTTATTCTTTAAACTCTGTAGACTATTTAAACTCTGAAGACTATTAACTTCACTCTGTGTCCAGCAGACATAATGACAAGAGCAGCCACAGAAAGACAACTTTTTGGCATAAGAGTCCTGTCTTAGCCTTGACAGTGCAATTACACTGACAGATCTGTTTCATTCTGTATCTAGTTTCTAATGGGGGCATGGATATCAAATTTAGCTCTTAAAAAATCTGCTGATTTACAAACCTTCCATGGTAGACAAGGGAAGGAGAGCTTGATTCCACCCATCCAAAAAAAACTCCATAATCTGGAGACTGCAAAGAAGAGTTACTAAGAAGTTTTTGATAATGGCAGTAAAAATTTTTGTGAAGCATCTTGGCTGTCTGATGTTTCTCTTCCCCTTTTTGTTTGCTTTCACCTGCATATCCTGGTGCTGTAGCCACTACACTGCAGAAGAGCTGAGATTGCTCTCCCAAATGGTGCACAAATCTGGTGAATGCAGCTCAGATTCTTGTTGTTGCTTCCATCCTTAGTAATGGCAGTAAATGGTTTGAGCTGAGTTTCAAGTAGCGTAAACCCAAGATTTTCCACATAGATGCACTGAAGCTAAAGCATGTTTTTCGTGGTGTCCATGACATACTCAATTTTTTTCCTCAAATGAACTTTTCATTCTAATTAACTGCTGCTCTAGTGCACTGGAGGTCTCTGAGGGAAATTTAGTTCTTTCATAGTGCTGATGCTTTCATGCATCCCTAATTTCTTTTAGTGTCTACTAGTGAGATTTGGTTTGAGATTTGACACTGAAATGGTCTTGTCTCTTTATAGGTACCTGCATATGCACTTTGTGCCCAAGTTCCTGCAGCAGATCTGATTGGAGCAGTCAGGGTTATAATTGTAATGAGAAGTTAAACACAGATATGTAGACAGGTAGAGTTTGTTTCCAATCTCAAAGGGATTTCTAGTATCCTAATGATTATTTTCTCCCCCAAGCATCTTATCTGCAGGCTGTGCTGCCTTTCAAGGCATCTTAAAATAGTTTTAGTCTGCAGGAAAATAACTTCCATGCTAGACAATTCAAATGGTACTACAAAAAGAGGACATCTTAAACACAAAACCACATTTTTAAAGGGAAACTACCTGCTATCTGAAGAGGTGATTTTTTGTTTTTTGTGTGTGGCTTCTCTGCTTGCTACTTGTGGAATTTTTTCACTATTTCATGTTTCATTATTCAGTATTCCATGCTCTTTTCCCTCACTGATCAGCAAATACATGGATTTTTTTGGTTGTTCTATTTAACAACAATTTTGGTTGTTCTTTCTAAACCATAAGACTATGCAGCTCCTCTTTTACCCTTTATCCCAAGCTTTTTGAACTTTACAAGAGCATAAATCACAGAGTCACTAGGTTCTTAAAATGCTCTCCTGTACTCACTTGACCTTATTCTATATTCTGAAAACTATCTCTTGGAAGATAACCTCAGTCTCTGACATGATACTGTCCTCTGCAGTGAAAGTATCCTTCTGTTGAAATTGAAGACTTGGGATGATTATAATGCATTAGAACATCTTTCCCTGTGATTTTTTTTTTTAAGTTCATATTTTCCATCTACTTTATGAACAAGCTTAATTAGCAGCTTTCTAATTTTTTGAAATCTCATTCTTTACTTCTAATATCTTGGCTTTCCTTCCCCTCCTCCCCCCCCCCCCCCAGTATAGCATCAAACTTATTTAAGTCAATAAATACCCCATTCATTTCCCTGCTTACACTCTATTCATTTGTTTTCACAGTAGTGCCCATTGTTTCTTTGAAGGATTCATTTGAATTGGTAAACTGTTTGTCCTGTGCTTTATGAATTCTATAAATGTTCTTGTAGACTTCACAAGCTTTATAATTTGATATGTTCTGTTATTCAAAGGTGTAGTGACCTCTATTTCAACATCCATCTAGTTGGGGTGGGGCTTTCCTGCAACAAAATGTGTTTTAAATTTTAAGCCGTATTTAACTTTCTTGTGAACTTCTTCCCTAAATATCATTATATACTTTTATGGTCAATTTCTAGTCACCTTTATGCCATTTTCTGATTCACACATATCAGACTAAGCTGCTGTTTTCCTTTGTTTATAAATCCTGTTAAATAGCAATACAGTGGGTTTCTGGGATTTTTCAAAAATGAAGTTTCAACTCATGATTTAACCTCAAAATCACATGATGGAAAATGACTCATAATTTACAATATCTGTTAGAATGCAATAGGTGAAGTAAATTTGAAGAAGCATCCATGTTCTCACAAAAGGCTTCAGTTTTACATTACCTTACCTCTTGGGTTTAACTCCATAGTCACAGTAAGCTCATTGGCAACTCAGACATCAAAATGGCATTTTATAGTGTCAGAAAAATAAAATTTTCTCTCTGAAAAAGTACCTTAGCTTAGTAAGAAGATCATATATACATATTTATGTCAATATATATTTTTTTCCAAATGTCGAATTTACATTTTATATTTCAGACACTTTGAAAGAAGGACTTTCTAAGAATTAATTCTTTCAATAATATCACTTAGAAAGAATACTAAAGCAAATACTTACCTGGAAAATACCTGATAAATCAAATTAAAATAAGTTCAAGTCCAAATTCGGAATTTTTCTGCAGTTCTTTCAGACTGGAGTGTACAATTCATATGCAGGAATGGACTTGCTGTCCCTTGGATTGGAAAATCTTGGTATCTGATTGAAGAGGCTCTGAATGACAAGCTGAACACATCCCTGTGTGTCTGGGCTGCATTCCAGTTTTTGACAATATAAGGGCTTTTCACTTAAGCTAGCAATACCTCCACAGAATGTGTAGCTGGACTGTTTAAAAAACATCCCATATATGGTTCTGACACATACTCCTGCCTCTTGAATCCATTGCTATTACCTCCTTAAATCCAATGCCATTACCTCCTTAAACCTCTGATTCAATTTTCTTTTTTATTATTATACTTACGATTATGATGCAGTGACAGGCATATCTCCAAATATTCAGAGGTCAGCCTCAGTTCAAATAAGCATCCAAAAGGGTAGATACTAATCTGAAGGAGCTGGGTACACATTTAAGGCAGTTTTGTAACCCATTCTCCTTACTGCTATCATGTTCTTGATAGTAGAAATAAATTTCAAGGCTTAAAACCAAATTGCAGAGGCTTACTTTCTTTTAGGACATAACAGTCAAAGTAGAAACTAAAAATCCAGGTCACCTTGCATAGAAGATGTGCTGAGTTGATTTTTTTTCCCCCCTTCTCTCTTGCTTCCACTTGTTTGTGGACTAAACTATTCTGAGATATTTGTTAAAGTCTTCCTGCTGATATGAAACTATGAGAAGCAAAGCTAAATAACTTGTTTTATTGTAGGGCCAAATACATAGATAAAGTAGCAGAAAGGAGAAGATGTCTTGAAAACTGCCTAAAAGACTGAAGGACTCTCTTTGAGAACACTACATAGGAAATGTTTTAGTTTTTTTTCCTTGTCATAAATGACAAGAAAAAAACCAAAGACATAAAATGAAAAAAAAAAAAATCAGCAGAAAATCTGAAAGCAGACTAGTACAGGCCAGGTAAATTTAAAAAATATATTTATTTTAGGAGTCCTGCAGGAAATTTATTTCTAAATCAACAGGTAACTTTAATGCTGTTTCTTTTGCAGTATTTATTTTGGTATCCGTTTTCTAGGTACCCTGCTGCTAGTATAAATGTAGGAGCTGTAGTTTTCATGAGTGTTTTCCCTGAAATTAATTCTTAAATAGTTGTGAAGGCCATTTAAAAAATGTGGAAAGTTTGTTTTGGTATGTAAGAATTTCTAAATTCCTTTTAGGGAAGGAATCTTTAGGTCAGATCTTTTACACAGCCCCTATGGGCAATGTGCTGTAAGTCAGGGTATAATTTTAAAGTGGCCTTTTTTCATTGCCTTGTTGCCAGTAATGATCGGAGTGTGATTCTCTGGAATAGTTGTCACCATATTCTCTGGAAAAGCTGTCTGCCTTAAAGGCTCTGCCCACCTCTACTGTCCTCTGGTAGTGACCTGAAGCAGAAAGTTCATCACAGACTGGTGTGATGAAGCAAAGGGAGATCAGTTTTCAGCCCCTCTGATAATTATATTAGTTCAGGAACTGTAAGTACTTCCCAGGACATCAGCTCTTATCTCATCAGTGTTCTTATCTAACTCAGCTTAAAACTGTAAGATTACTGAGGCAGCCTTGTGTGGGTGCAACATTCACTGCCTCTGTTACTTAGGTACCACTACTTTCCTTCATCACTGCTTTTGCTTGAAGCCACAGACTCTTCTCTCCTGTGGAAACCCTTTCACCTCTTTCCAATGCTTCCATATGCATTCCTTAACGTACCACCTCTGCTTCATAAAAATGTGCAACTTCAAACACTCAGTTTTCTTCCCATCTTTGCAGCACAGGAGCCCAACTCTATAAATAAGGTGATATTCTTGGTGATTTGGGCTCAGTCAAGGTTTATTGGCTTAGCAAGCTGTTGTCAGCTGAGCTCTTCTTCTCTCTGCATGTTTGCTGTGAGGTGATGCAGTGTGCCACATGTCTGAGCACAAGGGGATGCCTTGCATGGCCCAGCAGCTCAGCCAATGTGCTGTTTGTTTCCTACTGCTGTAAGACAGGAGTAGGGCTCAGCCCTCTGCCAGTGACATGGGAAAGGCTTGGAGGGAAGAGTTTTAGCACAGCCTCACACAGAATCTCTTAAAAGTTGGTGTCAGGAACAAAAGGCAATATCAGCCATAGCTCTGCACTCCCACACCGCATGCACACATACACACACACGTGCACACCATCTAAGCTCTTCAAATGTTAGAGAGGGCAGGGCTATAGGCTGTACAGCTGATCCCAATAATTTTGCACAATAATTTTGGCCACATGAATAAAAATGTTGATGTGCGCAGCAGTTTACATGAAAATACATATACAGGTTGTCGTCCCTAATTTCCAGCTCTGGAACAGGAGCTCACATTTTTATTTTACTCAGCTTGTGGAATACTTTGAAGGGTGTGGGTGAGAGCAGCAAGAAAGAGGTTTTAACAGAGAAAAATGAAACAATTTAATTCCAGTCTTTGTTCTCAAGGTCTTCTTTTGAAGTTGCCTAATGAAACTCAGCTACATGCTTCTCTTTAACATGGTTAATGCAGCTGTCAGGTTGGAGAGGGAAGGTGCTAGTATAATTGAAGATTTAATTTTGAACTGTATTGTAAACTAGCTTTCATAAAACCCAACAACAGTAAAGTGGTTCATTACATTTTAGAATGTCTGATGTAAATAAGGTCTCTGAGTGTGTGTGATCAATCTTTCCAAGGGCCAAAATATTTTGCTGTTCCCAAGCTTGATTTGCTTGTTCAGGCTGAATAAGCTCAGCTCATATGCATTTAGAAACTGACTTGAATTTTAATTTTATTATGATGTCTAATTGTGCCTGCTGTGGTTGCCTCTAATTTCTACGAAGTAGCCCCTCAGCTTTTGCAGAAAGACTCTAGAGATTTTATAAGGTTATTGACCAAATCAGAAACGTGCAATCAAGTAAGGCAGAGTTACTATACCCAGTGTATGAGAGGCAGAATTTGTTCTATTGCCAGCTATCCAGGGAGGAGGAAAGGCGTATTGCAAACTTTGCTGCAGAAAACAGGCATTTTCTAAGTGTTTGACCCTTTGTTTGACCATAATTATTTACAATCCACATTGTTCAACTTCCATTGTCACTTACTGCTTTCTTCACAACTTCAAGGAGAGAGGAGGCGTCTTAGTGTGTAAAGGAGAAGTTCCAAGGACATGATCACTCTTTATTTTAATATTGTAACATTTTATGTATGATATGAGAGAATTTTTCAGTGCTACTGAAAACCTAACTCCTGGGATCCATTTATTTATTTTTTCTGTGTACATTAATCAGTTTCTGTCTTATCCTGTTCACAAAAAAATTCTAAAAAACCAACAAAAACAACAACAACAACAAAAACCCCCCAAAAAAACCCTCAAAAAAAACCACCTTTAATATTAGAAAAATAGTGTAAGGATGTAAGGATGAATGTTGACCAGAGGTTCGACTGACCTCAATGTGAGTTCAATGCATGGAGCTCCTAATTTTTTTCTTCTTCTTACCTAGATTAAAAAGAATAAAAACAATGTCAAAGCCACTTTCAAAGTCATGGCTGAGTTATACACATTTGTTCCTGGCATCCAAGAAAAAACAATTTCCAAAGTTTGAGTGTTGAGTATGGAACAGAAGTGACAGAACAGTTTGTCAGTGGAGAACATTATTTAGAGCTATTTAAAGATTGTCCTTGACCTTTCCACCTCTTTTAAAACCTTGTGAGAGAGATTTAAACTTCTCTTTTGCCAGTGGCCTACTGTCAGTTCCATATTTGTGTTTGTTCTCTCCATGCTATGGATGTAAGAGCACATTAAGGGGACATCTTCCAAATCCTCTTTTAAACTCTTGTCTGAGAAAGAGCCCTCAGATTCAGCCAGGTCAACCTCGGCACTTAAAGTTCAGAGAAATACTTTTCTTTCCTTGATCTCCTCTTAAGCCAACGTTTTACAGCTGTTGGATTGAAATCTGACCTCTGTGAAGATAGTGAAGGTTTTATTATTGGCACTGATGTGTCAAAGGTTTTCAGTACTTTTTACATGTGAATTTTCATCTGAGATACATATGTTTATTTATTTATATATCTATATATCTATATCTGTATCTATCTATATATATGTATCTATGCAAATGCTTATGCTGATAAATTACTTGTAAGGCAAAGGTTTTAGATTGTTTGTAAGCAGATTTCTCATATTAAAAAAATGCTCTACCAGTAGGAATTTTGTCCATTGATGAAGTGTTACAAAGAGTACTATTTTCAACATAACCTCCAGGAGAAATTAAATACTGATGGTACTTTCACGTGCCAACTTTTTCAGTGCTCACCCTCTCATGTATAATGCCCCAAAAAATAGTACAAGTAGGTGCTACTGCAAAGGCACTGTTGATTGCTGGAAAATCATTTGTTATATATTGAGGAATCCTACAGAATTCCTGATCTTTAGCCATAAGTGTAATATACAGAAATGGAGGCAGAACTAAGTTACTACAGGGAGTTTTAGTCTTTATTTTCTCTTATTCTTAGTTCAGCATCTTCAGTTGAAAAGGACCATAAAAAAGTTAAATCAATATTTTATTCACAGACAATAGCCCACAGCTGGGTTCATGAAGCTGTTGATACTCACATCTGGCTCTTTTGGAGGTGTCATTGTATGTGTTTCTGTGTCAAAAATCGTGTAATATGCGGAGGATCAGCTTTTATTTTGTGTCCAAGTGGGGTGTTTCATCATTTAATGAAAAGATGGAAAATAAGAGCACAGATAGTTTGAAGCAATTTGGAAAGAGTTTCACAAAATCATCATGGTTGAAGAAGCATCTTATTATTGCAAAATCTGCCTTTAATATTTACTACTGTAACATTTGTTCTCTTGTAGTCTAAACACGCTAAATACAATGATCATTGAAAATAGTCCTGAGTATTTGTTCACATGTTTATGGTGACTGTACCTATCTATCAAGTATTCTTATTCAAAATATCACTTCTTACAATTCTTAGTGCTAACTGAAAACAACTTTTTTTTTCTTTATTCCCTCCTTTGAAGACAAAGACAGGGGTTTGTTTGCTGCAGGATGGTAACCAGGAGCCTTTCAAAGTGCGACTGCACTTAGCCAAAGATATTTTGATGATCCAGGAGCAGGATGTGATCTGTGTGTCTGGTGAGCCTTTCTATTCTGGTGTAAGTAGCTTTTATTTCTTCTTTAAGATGTTCTTTACAAAGAAACAGTGCTGTGTGCATACACACATCTTTATGCATTTGCTCCCATGGATTGGTATTTCATTTTACACTGTTAACACGAAGTGTATTTTAGTGCTTCTTTTGTGAGTAAATATTAGCAATACTCATCTAAGAAGCAGCAATGAGATAATAAGGCATATGCATGACTGCACCACTGTTTCTCTTCTCTCACCTTTGGGTATTGGAGCCAATGAATGTGGGAGGAATGACATGAGCAGTGGTTTTTGCAGGGAGTACAGATACCTCAAAGTAACTGTATCTAAGTATTGTCTGTGGAGTTGATAAGATAATTATGTCAGAGCTTTGCTGGTAGAAGAGTTACCTTTTATCCTCTGTTGCTTGAGTTCCTTCCTATGGTAGGCCAGCACTAGACTTTGGGAATGCTGTGGGAAGTCACTAGCTTTAGCAGCATATCATGTTAACAGAGATGGAACAGAGGGATAAAGGGCTTTATGTATTACTGTTTTTACCCGATGTGTCACATTCCTTATTTAAGCATCATATTGAATTTTGTGCATGAGAAACTACAATTATTTGGAAGATCTGTAAAATTTTATGTAGAATAATACCGTAGGGTTTCGAGCTATTGTAATGCAAAGTTTTTATTTAATATTTGGAGATAGGTACAAAAATAAAAGAAATCACTTAGTATTAATTTCTGTAGACATTTTTATAGATACTGTAATTATATTTTGTAGAGATCTCCCTTTAAGCTAAATAATATAATCATAGAATTTCATGTTAAATCTTGTGAGGCATAGTAGTGTGATATCTGTTCATACAAATGTTTTGTTAATGCTATTATGTCTGTTTTATTATTTAATTGCTGCTATTTCCACCTACTTGGATCTCTAAATACAAGCACAATAAAAAGATAGAAAGCACAAATGAAAAATAAATTGGTAGAATGTTAGCAGTGCAAAGAGTGTGAAAGATTAATGAAAAAATGTATCAAATTATCCTTCTCATGATTATGAATATGTCACGGTGAATTCTTCGGAGCTTTTCTCTGAAACAAGAGGAACACATTGCTTAGAGTCTCCATAGAGTCTGGGTTTATTTGCTTGACAAATCTGACATTAGCTTCTGACTGTTTCATGTTGAACAAAGGCAGTTTGCTAATACAGGTCTGTATCCTTTATGTGCAATATAGATGCTCCTTTTACCGATCAGAGTCCCATGTTCCTCAATAGACAGGACGTCCAGCCGCCAGGATAGAAAGAAGTTATGAGTTCAAGCTCAAGCTGTAGTTGTTCAATTAGCAACATACACTGTGGCACCATTATTTCACCAATACCATTCTGACTTTATTTATTAAAAGATTTTATCACTCAGAAATATGACTTTCATTATTCTGCTGTAATATCTGTAATATCCTGCTGAACTTGTTATTTAAATGTCTTCATGAAATGCATATTAATTTTTTTCCCTTTTCACAGCAAGGCTTTCTCTTACAGTATTTCTCTCCTTAGTTTTGCAAAGGCTCTGTAGAAAATAATGGATTATTTGCTTCCCCAATTAAACTCCCCCATGTTATTTGCATATTAATGCATAACTCATTAACTGATTGGTATTAGTGTGTTGATGCAGAGATTATTTTCCTGGAAGTGTCGTTGTTGGAGTAGTGACTTTTGAGCACTTTACTCTGATTTCCTTTAGGATTAAGTCTATTTTTTTAGCAGTACAATCATTCCAAATAAGAATGATTGGCATTTCACAGACAGTTAACTGTCCTTTTGTCAAAGGTAATTTGAATAATCTGGAATCATGTACCTTGATTGTATACTATAATCACAGAAGTCCCACAGGCTTCCTTTTTAAGTTTTCCTCAGTTTTATTCCTGATTTATTAGGTTTAATTTTTTTGCTTGCTTATTTTTCCTATGTTTTACTTTGGTTCATTTTGTTCTGTTCTTTCTGTCATTCTAGATAACTGATAGCATTTATCTTTCCTTTACCTGAATTCTACAAAGCAAGGGATTTCATTAGCAACTGACACTTAATGCATCAGAGAATTAATTCTTTAAGCATAAAAATAAAATTTGTAACTGAGGAACAATAGTATTGCTAAATTTTACACACAAGTAGCTACAGTAAAAATAATTTTTAATCTGTTTAAATAAATAATCTTTAAATAATTTGATTATAAGGTTTTGCTTTATCACTGCTGCACTGGTATGGAACGAAAGGCTATTACTGTGTTTCTAGCTCAGAACAGTGTCTCTTCTGTTTGTTGAGTCTGAATCAATTTGCATGCTCCTCTGTGTAGGACAGTCTTTAAACAGGCACTTAACGTTCCAGCAGCATCCAGATCTGCATCCTGTGGAATAATCTAAATAAAATCAATGGCTCCTTAGGAATGAAGTGCTGTTTAATGTGAGTGTATGGGATAAGGACCTGGTTCTTAATTTGGAATACTTCCTTTTGGTGTTAGACGGTTCTAGTTTCCAAAACTAAAGAGGTGCAAAGAAATATTGTTTCTTCTTTTGTTGTGTACAGTTTGGAGTAAGAAAATAAAATACATAAAAGATTATAAGCAAAATAAATAGTGTTATACACTAAAAAAGGAAAGCATCTGTTTCTTTAATGGGCTGAAAAAAACCATAAGCATTAGTGAGGGTTCTGCAGCAATTGTACCTATAGCAACTCCATACAGCATCAACCATCATTCAAATGATCATGGACTACATCTAAATTTGAGTATCAGTTGCATCAATAAGTATTAAATATATTTCTTTTTGTGTGCAATAAGAAAGTCTTGCATTCCAAGAGAAAGAAGTGTAGTGGGTTCAGCATTATGCTGCTAGCAGATATCCAATGTAGATTTGAGCTCCAGCGCAAATGACCAAAAGTGGGATGAGAACATCTTGTGAAACTCAAAGGCAATGTTGTTACTAATCTGAATTAAATCCTTGCCTGTAGAGAGGTTTTATGTTATGGGAAGTGTTTGCCTCAGTTGGAGTGGCTTGTGTTGGAAGATAAGACTGCTGTCCCTTAGGTCAGGTACACCCTTTTCTCCCAGAGCAGTTACTAAATGTCCCAAAAAGAGTTAAATTAAACCATGTAGGAACCTCATCACTATTTATGGCAGAATTTTAGAATGTCTTTATCTCTTCTTTTAAGCATATTTCTTTAATTACTTGAAATTATGCTCACAAGAGTTTGCTGTATGGTGGTCCATATAAGAATGTGGAGTGAGGTAATTCCCACTCTTTTTAGATATACATTTAAATAGCCTGGACTAACCAGGTTAGCCTAATGCTGAACTTGGTGAAAATTATGATGAGAGAGGAGATAGCCTAAGGTATGACATATCTGAAGTAGATTTGTTCCTAGGAAAGGTTTTAATATTTGCCATTCCAGAATCAATATTTTTATTCTAGAGTTAATCCTCACAGTTTCTATTACCTTTCATGAACATCTGAAATTCAAGGAAAAGGATTATTATGCTATATCAAGATAAGCAGCTTATCTGTTTAGGAAGCTGTGGATTTTTGCTTCTTTTCTTTAATAAATTTCCTTCATTAATTGTACTCAGAATATTTTCTATACATAGAGTCTATGTGCATGTGAGATCCATAAATTAAGGATATAACAATGAACCATCTGACAGAATGGATGATTTGAATCAGCTACTCTTTTTTCTTAAAGAATCAAAATAAACTGCAAGCAGCTGGCAAATTGTTAGCTACCAGGATAGTTTGCATTTTTACAGAATTTTCTTAAATATTCTTTTAAAGGGTCATAGATTTTACAAAATACTGCTAACTCACCTGCTGATAACATACAGATGAGTCACATCTCTTTCAAGTAATTTATTTCTGTGCTGCTGTGTAGTAAATACATTAATTAATTAAATGTTAAGAAGTTCTTTTAGTGGTTTGATTTTTTAATTAAAGATCCTTGGGGAAAATTTGTGTGAAGGTCAATCATAATTCAATACTAATAAAAACTGAGTGAATGGTTTTATTTTTTTGCGAATTGACAGAGCAACAGTTCTCAGAGTAGCATGGCATTTGTCCAAACTTTTAAGGGAGGTTGAGACAATTGTATCTAAACGTAGCCTATGGACTGTAATTGGTTTTGTGATTAACAAAACTATCAATAAACACCTTTACTAAGGCCAGGATGTAACACTGTCTCAAAAAGTTGCACTGCAGCCAGATCTGTTTTCTGATATTGTAAACAACACTGTTGTTTTTGTTTTTTTTTTTTACTGGAAGCCTAAAAAAAAAAAAAAGTCTCACTTTTAGGGTTGTCTGTATGCTATTGTGAAATCATGTGCTGAAAGATTCATAAATATATACAAAGCTCATAAAGTATTAAAAAAATGAGTTATTAGAGATTTTCCAATTTTTTTTTTTTTGTATAAAAAAGTCTTTTAATTTAAAACTTTACACAATAGATTTTTTCTTGTTTTTTAAAATTTCAATATTAAAGCTATTAATTTTTAAGAATAAATTTGAATTCAGAACACATCACTTAGGGATGACATACCTGGGAAGTAACATGAAGTTATTAAATTTTCCTTATTGAATATTTAATTTTTTTGAGATTTCCTGAGAATTAATTTTGTATTTGTTATATTGGATCATTCTCTTTTGAAAATTATGAATTTTCTTGTCATATATTTTAGTATTGCTAAAAAAGATTCAATTAACATTAGCAATTTAAATTAATTGAAGTAGAAGAAAAAAAATTAAAAGCTTAAAATGGTAAATTATAGTTTTGACTTATTTTCTCTAGTGTCTTTATTTACAATTTTGATTCTGATGTTTGATTGAATATTACAAGTAATGCCAAAATGGAACTCCCTGTCTTGTAAAGAATTGCAAATATGTGCACTGATAGGTCACCTTTCAAGCACTTTCCATTCTTGTTACCTTCACAAAGCTACCAGTAAGAATCTTTGGGGTTTTTTATCTTTTTGGTATCTGTCAA